ATATATCAACCCTGACTGTATTCTGTGGACCGTCTACATGTAATAATTGACTCAATTGAAACATAAAAAGTTTCCTTTTGCTGACAGCCATATTAACTGTAACAGTTAATTGTTATTAAATTTATATGATTTGTTTTCAGCAATAGATCTGTATTACTGCTCGGTGAGTTATCTAAATGGGTGAAGATGTCTCCTCAGCGTGTTATCGATATCATAACTTACTCCGCAGATATCGTACTAACATTACAAGGCGGTGTTGGTGAACACATTGAATTCACTCTGGTTTATACTGATGATTTGAAGACACCACAAGTTGTGAAATGTGTTTTCCCTGAGTCTGGTAAAATGCAGATGCACATTTCAAACAAAAAGTGTCATCCATATTGAACATTTCAGCTTCAAAAATTTGTAATTTCTGTGAATTACATCACTCAATGAATTACCTGACATATTATGAAACTTTTTTACTTTTGCTTATTTGAAGATAAAAATAAAATGTTGTAATTGAAACAAATCTGTGCATATTAATTAGCTACTTATGCATAATGATAGTGTTTCAAGAATATTTCAGTTGTAACTGCTGACATGCCAATCAAAATACTTTAACTTCAAACAGGCTTGATAATGATGTTTTACTAGATTAGAATTGTATATGCTTTTATTATCTATATAGTGTAGGGTGACTCAATGGATATTAGATTTAATAATGATGTATAAGTGATTTGTTAGAAAGTATGGGACAACTCCTAGATCGATTAGATTCATGCATATTAATCAACCTAATTTACATACAATTTATTTGAACAATCGTGGATTAGTTAATAAAATCCACGTTATGTTAATAAAAATGACAGGCAACGTTTAAGTTCATGGAAAAAAAGTACTTTTAAAATATTATTTTTGAAAGTTAATCATCCAACCCAACTCCTCATATGACTGAAATTGAAAGTTCTAGCCTATGAAAACTTGAAAACAGCTAGTAAGTTAGACATACAGACCAAACCCAATGGTCACTAGACCATCATTATCAATGGCGAGTCTTGGTTCAATAGCGCACCGACGTTCTTCATTTTGAGAGAAGAGGAATACCAAGGTCCGGGGAACCTCAAATTAATGAATATCATCAGAATATTACAAACAAGTCTGTGCGTGAAGAAACACTGGGAAAGTTTCAGATGCAGAGAATGCGTGTAGTCATACTGGTGTTTGATTGAGGCTCAGACTAGTAATACAAGTCTGAGATTGGGTTTGTTCATTATAGCAATGTATTGCGCATGTTCAGTCTGTCGTTACTTGCAGAGGGCAGTGTATTTCTATTTATAAAGCTAGAAGTTATCGGTTCATTGAGCATGTGGCAGAATTGAAACAAGATAATATTAAAATTCAGATCTCCCAGTTACAGTCCCCCGGTCCTCGTTGCTGTAAGATAGTTAGTCATCTGGTTGAAATAAATGAGTCAGCTATCTATTAATTAATGAAATAAATGACGTTCATTAGGTTAATTACTGTATATTGCATTCTCAAAGATTACCAAATGTAATTTTCCATCTACGCAAATCACCTATATAGGTAATTTCTTTTCACTGTAAAACCTCGCGTAATGCAAGGCGCGGACCAACCATCTACCCTGAAATCGGAACGATTTGGTTTTGAATTTGAATTTCATTTTTTATAGTTCAATAGCGATTATTCATACTCCAACTTCATCAAAATTTACCTTCAAAAGTATATTAGCGTTTGTCGAATCCCATGAGATATTTTGACGTCACCACGACGATATAATCTTTGTTTGTCATGTGTTTTACGTTCGATTTCACGCATAACATGGGATTTAACTAACTACGTTTATTGCACGTGCAGATATCTGTATGATAAAATTTATCTACTTGTATCAGTGGGAGAACACAACCAATGATGTAAGTATACTGGCAAAAAACAAATGGGCATGTTTTTTCAAAAAGCTGAGAATATGATAATACGGTCGTGTACTTTTAGTATTAGTATTTGCTAAGTTCTCACGAACAATTAAAAAAACATTTTTCGCGGGATTGGCCGTTTCTAGCTGTTCCGAGGTTTCTTTTCATGTGTTTGATTTTATTCACTATTCACTATTCACTATTATACTTTAAAGGGGTCCCAACAACAAGGGAGATCATATTGTCCCTGAGTAGTCCCAACAACAAGGGAGATCATATTATCCCTAGGTGGCAAGGGAGATTTATCACTGAGTAGTGATATTTTCGAAATCTTGTTGAAAACAGCAAGTCTGATTGTTTTGATACTATACATATTGTATCTTCAGTTCTTTAATTGAAATGTGCATTGCTATTAAACAGCGGAGGAGTTCGTAGACTCAGTGGTTATGCCAAGGTACGTGATGGTCAGTAGCATTGTATAGTAGAGAATGAAGACAGACACGCCAAACCTAAGAGTGATATTTGTGTTTAACAATTGTATATTCAAACTTCGAGAAAATGTCTTTATTTACGTCTTTATAACTGTGGCATTTATGATCTTCAGTGATTTCGAAACTATTTAATGAAAA